TGGTTGTAGCCTGTTGCTTCCTTCTAGCATGCCCACATCCCCCCACATCTTAGTGTCATCAGCAAATTTGAACAGGGTGCTTTTTACCCCCTCATCCAAATCACTGATGAAGATGTTGAACAGCGCGGGCCCGAGGACCGAGCCCTGGGGGACCCCACTGCCCATGTCCTTCCAGGTTGAGAAGGACCCATCCACCATCTCTCTCTGGGTGCGGCCCTCCAGCCAGTTGGCGACCCATTTGACTGTGTGGGTGTCTATGCCACAGCCCCCCAGTTTCTTAATGAGAACGGGGTGAGAGACAGTGTCAAAAGTCTTCCGGCAGTCCAGGAAGATGATGTCCACTGCTACCCTGCGTCTAAGGATTTGGTGACCTGGTCGTAAAAGGCCACCAGGTTGGTCTGACAGGTCCTGCCACTGATGAACCTGTGTTGGTTACCCCTAAGCATGCAGTCCCCTGCTGGCCCCTCCTGGATGTGTGCCAGAATAATTTTCTCAAACAGCTTGCCTAGGATTGAGGTAAGACTAACTAAGCCCCCCTGGTCTTCTCTTCTCCAGACTAAGGCGGCTTTTGCACATTTCCACTTCCCTGTTAGCCTCAACTCCTGTAAAACACAAGAAAAGCCGCTCCAGCTGCCCCGCTCTCCTTACCAATCTGCAGCCGCTCTGTGCTCCCCACCTCCGGGATGAGAGCAAGGCAGATAGACATGGTCCTGAGATAGGAGTTGTGCACCTGAGAGGGAAAGGAATAAAAAGAAGCTTCCTTGACACATCCCCAAATCTCCTACCCTTGATTCACCTCCACCAGCTCTGGTGACTCCCAGGTCTGGCTTACTTGCATGGTCCCTTCTCCTGACACTGGATGCTGATCCACAGGTGCTGTAGGGGACACAAAGGTCCCTGGCATTCCCTGCCTCTCACCTCCGGAGGAGACCAAGGGAAAACGCAAGACGAGATGCTGGCAGGTGCATCAGAACTGCCGTTCCCCCGCAACACGGGGCAGGAGATGGGCAAGAGGAGGGAGATGCTGGGAAGTATGAGTGAGCTGCTCCATTTCACTGCGCCGAAGATTGTGGCAGAAATGACAAGCCACAGAACCAGCTATTTTTTCTCGCCTCTCCCTCTGCAAGGACCAAGAATATTCCTCTGTGATTGGCAAAGAGCAACTAGCAATCAATGCCTCTCCCAGATTGGAGGTGCCCTTTCCACTGGCGCATCTTCATCCCCCATCTGACGCCTGTTCCTTTGAGCAACTGGGAATCGAGCTACTCCAGGCTGACAAAAGCGATGTGCGGCATTTCAGCAGCTTGCTTTCTGGGGATTAATTGCTCCATCTTCAGGGCAGAGATAAAGAAGCCAGCTTAACTTGCTGGTTCAAGAGCACTTCCCTGCAACAGACAGCAGCCGCCCTGCCACCGAGATCAAAAGGAGCTGAAACAGGGCCAAGAGGGGGGAGGAAGAAATCACTGTGCTTCAAAAGGGAAGCCAAGCATCACAGACCCTTTATAGAGGCAATGATCCTTGCTGAAAGGGCATGGCCTGGAGCGTGCTCCTGTTGCGCTGCATTTCAATAGCACATGACCATGCAGCCCGCCTTCCAGGAGCTCGCACGCCAGCAACGCCAGGGCTATGCTGCTAATCCTGGGAATCCTTCTTTCCACACAGCCTCGGGATGTCTTGGAACCTCCTGGCCTTGGCGCGGGTTTTACACTTTACCGCCAAGGCTGACATTGCTCTGAAGGTCCGTGCAGCAGAGCAAGGGAGGAGGAGAAGGGGCTCATCTGAACTTCTGGCTGACTCTTGCTCCAGTCCCCGGTTGACCCATCCACACAAGCAGGCCGGGACGCCTTACTTCCATGATATACATGAGGCGCCTCCAACCATCAGGGTACCTGCCTGAGCAGACTAGGTACCAATACCTACCTTTCAGCGCCCGTTTGGTTTCATTCTTTAGACCAACTACTGCACAGAAGAGCACAGGAAGTGGAGAGAGGAGCAGCCAACATACCTGAGTGCCTCTGGGTGCAATCAGAGGCTGTGGATGTCAGAGAGGTACGTTTTACCCATCCGCGCATACCAGAGCGCATGCCAAAGGAGATCTGGCCTCCTCCTACAGGGACCACTTCTAGTTGGGTTAAGCTGTTAATTGTATTGTGGGAAGTGGTGGAGGCCCAGGCCACATGGTCCATGTTATACACACAGGAATAACCAAGGGAGAATCCCTGCCTCAGAGCACTTGCTGTCTAAGCAGGTTCAAGTGCGACTCCCGGATCCTCTACCCTGGTTCATTCTGGACCCTCTCTTCTCCCTCCTGCCAACCCCTTCATAACGCTTTTGCAATTCTGCTCCTCCCTGGTGATCCCCAACACACGCAGAGCACGGTCCAGGAGCCTTCACGAAGAGCTAAAAACCGAACAGGATCTTCTGGCAGTCTCCGACGCTGGCCTGGGGACTACAACAAGGACTAAAACTGTAAACCCAGACACACAGCTGAGCGATACCTCTGCAATATGCTAGGCCTTTACGTGTATAGCCTCTTCTCACCCTCAATGCTTTTTTCTCCAGGAATCACACCTCTATGGTAAACCAGAAACAGACTTGGTCCTCATCTCCGGAGCAGACGGGTTCTCCGGAGTAAGCAGCTGCTTCCCACCCCTTCAGTGAAACTCTGGCACTATTATCACAGCAAAATCCCTTGCCCCACTCAGGGAGGCTGTGCAGCTGGCTGCTCTGATATTTCAAGGGCCTCCTCAGTCCTCTCCATGGGAAGGACTGAAGATGGCCTCGAAATATCAGCCCTTCCCACACAGCAACTTCTGAAAGGAGTGGTCTTCACACGAGAGTTTTCCAGCCTCCAACAAGGTTCTCAAGATCCTCTCTCTTCCCCGTTCCCCATTACAATTACAATCCAGCATCATGGGCATCACCATGACAGTCTTTTGTAGAGCTTAGATGATGGCTTGTCTGGGCTGGTTTGCACAGGGCTGACCCTGTCTCAGGCAGGGCTTGGACTAGAGGTGAGCTCTGCAGGTGCCGTCCAGCCCCACTTCTCCAGGACTCTGTGATCATCAGTCACCTCGAGGGCAAGTCTTCCGAGCTGCTCAGCAGACCCTACACCTCCCTCAGGAGCTAAGGGATTGCAATGAAACTGGTGAAACAACACCGTTTTGCCTCAGGTCAGTTGAAGTGCCGAGTTCAATGTCAAAGGAAACAGTCTGCTTCTTCAGGTTATCGAACAGTTTTGCCTTTTTCTTTTTTTCTTTCTGAAGAGTTGGGTACGTTTCAGAGCACGCTGCCAGCATCTTCCTCTGGGCTTTTCTTTCCTCCTTTCTGACGGGCTGAATTCCCCAAGGTCAACCTGAATTCACAAATCGTTTTGGCCACCTCCCCGCTGCGTTTTCCAATGAATGCACTGAAAACACTTTTGTCCAGTTCTACTGACTATGCAGCAAAGCAGATGATCCTTGATTGCCTCTGAATAAAGACCCTTTTAGGGAAAAGGTGCAGGCTAAGTTACAGCTATTCCACAAGAGCCATTCCCAGGGCAAGGGAAGCGGGAGAGATCACCTTCCCTGCGCTGCCCTACAGTCTCCCAGCTGTGATGGCTGGCTCCTGGCAGAGAAGAAATGGAAAGGTTCCCCAGGGACTGGGTCAGCGCCGCTCCTATACTGGCAGCAGGACGACTGTTCACCTCCACCCTCTCCCTCCCAGGGCAGACAACACCAAACACCATATCTTAGCACAGGAGTTGACATCGGTGCTTGGAGTGATTGCTGCAAAATGTCCTACCCAGCACCTTTTCCTCATGCTGTTGAAAGGTAGATGACCCCAAAGACACATGGCCTATGTATCTGTCATCCCCCAGGTAAGCTTGGCAAGGGCTATGGAGGTATTTCTGCCTTCCTCTGTTGCTGCAATCACAATCTACTTCCTAGGCAAAATGTGCTGGGATGAGCCTAGCTATTTCCATGCCCTCCAGCCAAACCTGCTCTACTCTCTCGCACACTGTACTTTCGGAGGCCTTTAGCTTTGTATATGAAGGAGCCCAAGGTTATTGTCAGGTATTAGGGGTGCTTCCTAATATCCTACAGACAGGAGAAGTGACTCCACCCATTCATCGGCTCTTAACGCTATTTATCTCAACACCGAATGAGTGGGTGTTCTCACAAAACAGCCTTCAGTCCCAACAGTAAATGCTGGCAGGTGTCTTAGCAGCTCCCTGAACCACCCTGCTGCCTCCTTACGTTTGGAAAGGACGTACGTGCGTCTCAAACACACGCTGGAAGCTGGTGACTGACAGGATGGTGCTCACCTACAGCATGGGGCAGCAGGTTGGAGGTAACACACAGGACAAGGAAAGGAGGGGTCTACACCCAGCTCACCCAGCTGTATCCGCACAGAAATGGAAGAGTGAAGCAATGGCTTGAGTCCACTTTTGGTGATGTCCAGCTCAAATGGACAAATGCAATTTGCCTGGTAACCCCTAATGAAGCTCTGGTCCCATCAAAGCCCTAAGCCACTATTCAGGCACATGAGAGCAACACAGGTGCTGCAACAGGTGAGGACTGAGGTACAGGAGTGGAAAGGGAAGGGAAGCCAAGGCCAAGGTTGGGGAAAGGGGGAGTGATGAGTGAGGTGTGTAGGACTGAAGCAGCAGCAGCCCTGAAGCACCTGCCCAAATGCAGGGGGGCTGAACCCGATGATCAGCAAGGTCCCTTCCAGCCCCTAACAATTACGAAACAGCAGTGGTCCTGTATGACTGAGGCAGCAAAAGCAATGAACGCTGAGATGCAGAGCTCGTGCTTAGGTCTGGACAACCACAGCAAGCCCCAGAGCTCATGAGAGCGTTACCCAGAACAGCAGCCTTGTACCTGTCTCCTCTCCTGCCTTGTCTCTCTCAGGTCTGCGGGCCTCGTCACTTGGGGAGGTGGATGACAGCAGAGAGATGAAGGACGGCAGCTTCTGGAGCCTGCTGGTGCCGGGGGCCTCTGTGTCACTCCAAAACTTGACCTCCTGCTCCGCTCTGGAGGGTCCGGGCACCTCTCCATCGTCATGGACCCGGGCTGCTTCCCTCCTGAAAGACACACATGAGTATGGCAGTAACTGGGAACCCGCTGGGAACAGCAAGAAAGGTCAACAGGTTAGAGAAGGAGTCACTGGAGTCAGAGACAGGAGACACGTTAGCTCATCTAGGCTGTCTAAATGCCAGGCATAAACTGTTCCCTACGGTCTAATTCCAAGGGCCTTGCCCTATATCCAGTGTTCAATGACCTGAGCACTGGTGGTCCTGTGAAGCAATCCAATATTCAGTGTGAGGTTTCCCTTTGCCCAGCTGGGCCCCTTTACCCTTATTTACATCCCAGAGTATCCCAGCCTCCCCATGAAGGAAATTTCCACCCTTCGGATACTTGGAGAGCTTTGAACTGGGCCCAGACCAGTCACCTGCGTTCTTCTGGGTCATCAAGTCAAGCCAAACAGCAAGGGGGAAGGGAGCTGGGCTGGAGACTGAAGTGCCCTCTCCTGCTATAAAGGCTGGGGGGCGGGGTGCAATGGGTTTACCAGGCCCTGAGCCATCCCCAGTCCCAGCTATCCATCTGCTCTGCTGAGCCTGTCCCCATGGCTCGCTCCTCGGAGGGCACACGGCTAATGTGACACTTCATCTCGTTTGACATCTCTGTTGACAGAGCTAATAAAGGAAAAAATGCCTGAGTGGTTCAGAGCTTCTCTAAACCAGGCCCCTTCTCTCTCTCTCTCAGGCAGAGATTGCTGTCCCCCTTCCCAGGAAAGGCGGCTGGAAGCAGCTCTGCATAGCACCGCTCCCCGCTGGCCAGCTCCAAGCTCCTGCATTCTTACCTAAAAAGAGCAAGGAAATATTTTACACCTCGTTCACAAGGGGGATGTGAGCTGGATGTCATTCCAAGCCGATTCTCTCACTCGGGGTAACTTTGGAGAGCCCTCTGTGCTGGCTCCCCTGTGCTACCATACAAGGCAGGGCCTTGCGCTGCCAAGATGCGTCCGGGGGCCCGATATAGAGAGGGCTGGGGGTCCGGCTCTGCCCGCCTCTAGCCAGGTGACTGGGAATGATGAAGGATGGGCAGGACTGAAGGGGGGGTGGATTTTGCAGGTGGAGAGGGGTTCATATGTAATGCTGCCTTCCAAAGAACAGGTGGAGTTTCCCAACTCCGAGCCAGCCACCAAAATACATCACCTGGTCCCTTCCCCAGCACCCACTGCCAGACTGTTTTGGGCAGCCTTTGCCCATCACGACCCCAGGGCAGGCTGTTCAGGCAAGCCTGTGGCTCTGCTCCTAGGATGCCAATATGAGGTTTGCCTAAAAAACAGGATCGAGTGCAACCCCAAGACACCTGCTGTGCAGGGGAAGAGGCGCTGGGTGGCAAAGTCACTCGGCAGAGGAAGGGCTGTGGGGGAAGAGCCAGGGATGTTTGCCGCTCCCCCTGCCATGGGTCCCTGGGTGGCTCTGCTTTGCAGGCCATGCCCCCTGCTGAGCGCACCTCCCTGTCTGTCCCCTGGCCCCGTGCGTGCTGTCACCCCGCCGGCTCCCGGAGACTCATTAGTGCTGTTAACAAAACGTTCCCAAGGAGCGACACAGATGTCAGGGGCGGGACGGGGGCAGGACGAGCCAGGAAGCGTTCAATGCCGCAGCATTGATGAGCCTGGGTGACAGGCTGCTGACAGGGATTGATAAAGCTGGACTGCTAACACGGCCGGGGAGGGGGGGAACTCGAGCCAGCACGCCTCACCCCGTGCTATTCTGGTCCTAGCAAGCAGCTCTGCCCTTAGCACGTCTGCCTGGCGGGCTCCACCTTCACCCCTCACCGCTCCCCGGGCAGGTGCCCCAGGGCAGCTGCAATGTGCCAGCGTGAGGATGTTCTCTCCCGAGACCGGGCATCTACCCTAGAAAACGCAGCGTGCCCACTGACGCGAGGGAGCACGGTGCTGGCGACCGCGGGATGTGACAAAGGCTGATTTCTAAAGGCCTGGCAACGACTGAAACAACTCGGCCGCAGCACGCGCGGAGGAAATGCAGGACAGCGCAACCCCTCGGCCCTTCGCGTCGTCCCACACGAGGGGCAAAGTCTTCAGCCACGTGGGAGCTCGTTATCAAAGGTGGAGAAGAAACTGCTGGCTGTGGACGCTGACGGTGCTGGACAGCCACTGCGATCTGAGCACCCCACAGATACCAGGGGCAAATATTATCCTGGCTTCCCTTGTTTTTTGCACGAACATTTTCTGCTTACTTCTTCCCCTTCCTATACAGGCTCCCTGCCCCCATGTCCCCAGCTGTGTGCCCATCCTAAGATGCCACCATGGCAGGAAGAGGCAAGCCTTGCCCTCAGCTATGAACACAGTCAAGGGCAGGCTCCTTCTGGTCTCCTCCAGAATGGTCCCCTCCCCTCCTGCTGAAAATCCTCTGCTGGGCAAGAGGAGGTTCCTGTGTGTGGCTCAGACCTGCCCTCTATTCTGGTTGGCCCAGACCCATTTCTATAGGCAAAAGATGTCAGCCAGGCTCTGTTTCCTCTTCTGCAAAAGGGGCGATCAATTAAAAACAGAAGGCAAGATGAGCTGTGGAGCTGGCGCTCCCGCCTGGGAGAGAAGAGGGTCAGGCATTGTACCGCTGCCTGGTTGCCTGCCTGACAGTGTTATTACACTTCTCCCTTTGCAACCCACAGAGTTAATGGCAGAGGAGAAACCTCTGGGTGCCAGGCTTGGTGGATTGCCCAGCAAGGTAGTTTGCAGCCACGCAGCATTATTAAAATGAAATAATCAATAGACCCCAAGGGCACGGAGGACAATGACCCCTTGCAAGGCTCACGCAGTCATTTTACGCTGAGAGTTGCTGATGTGATTAACAAAGCACCAAGCGCAACATCAGAGGCATCCTGCAGCACTGATTATGTTTCCATGTCCTTCTCCACCTTGGCTTCTTCTAACAGATGCTTCTGTATAGGAAGGAGGCTGGCAGCTCGCTACCCGTCTCCAAGGTTAGGGTCTCTTTCCCCTTTACACCCTGTAGTGTGGAGCAACCTAGGCCTAAAGCTCTTGGGCAGGAGACTGGGGTGTGATTCTCAGCTGGCCGGGCCGGCATCACAGGTGAGGAGGGAGATGTTCTGGGGTTATGAGACCCAATAAATCCCAGCGGCGCTGCAACAGTCCCTCACAGCCCTGCCCAAACCTCCTCCCTCTCTCCCTGAGCTCGCCATGTCCCTGCTTCCTGGGGGAAGGCAACGAATCCATTTGCCTTTGCATGACAGGACCCAGAGGGAAGCTTAGGATGTGTTCGGTCCTGTGCACCATGAAGCCGTCTCCCCCATCCATGGTAGAAGTGGTTTGGTGGCTCTCTGTCTAGTCCTCTCCCCAGAAGGCAATGGCTACATAAGGGAGGGAGCACAGCCAGGATGGCATCTGGGATGGAGAAGACTCTGGCTCCAGATAGACACTGCAGCTCATTCCTCCACCCAGGCCAGAGGTGGTCTTTGGGGCAGATGTTTCAACCTGAGTGATGGGAGTGTAGAGGCTGACAATGGAGTCACTTGAGACTTGGGGCTAGTACCCCCCAAACCCTTGTAAAAGATACCACAGGAGCCTACAGTGGTTGGGGCCATGGTTTTGCATCACTTTTGACACTGTCTGCAGAACCATAGTGACAAAGTACCCCCTAATCACCCATCCACTGCACCCTGCAGGAGTTTCTTTGGAAATCCCCCCTCCATGTTCTCACTCAGTCTGACCCTATTTTGTTTGCAGGACCTGTCAAGCAGTGGCCCCAATCAGTTATGCACCTCCAGTCAGGCCTTTTCAACCTACATGTATTCCACTTACAGGCACAAAACTAGAAAATCAGCTTCACAAGAAAAGCTTCTTGCTACCAGCCCTGCCAAACCAAAGAACAAGTCAGAGCCTCTTAAGTCTCATGGCCCCCATAATGAATAATTAGTGTGATCCCAGTGTCAAGATCTGCAGCTTGAGAAGTGATCTTGATATCAGAAGGGGTCTGAATTGGTGACTCTCAGATAATCGGTTCAGTCGATTAGAAGAGATTGAAAGAAAGTGCAGCTGGTTTCACAAAACCCTAAGAGAACTGAGCTGTCAGGAGCACACGCAAGAGAGCCCAGGCCATGCATCCATTCACCATTAAAGAAAATTTAGGCAAAGAAGGACACTGCTGCTTCAGTTTCCTCTCTCCTTACCTGAGTGTCTGCTCCCCAAGCCACCTCCATTTCGGTGGCGAGCTGCCCCGGTCAGAGTCCCCTGAGCTGGAGGCATGTCTCCCATGTCGCTTCTGGGGATGCTGCAGTTTGCACCGAGCGCCCTTCGGACAGACACCTTTCTTGGCAAAGTCAGGACACACCAGGGTGTGCTTCTTCTTGCACTGGAAAGAAAAGGACACAGAACTGTGAGGAGCTTCTACACGCAAATGCCATGATTCCTCACTTTCCCAAGGACCCGCATGGTAAGTTAATGAAGAGAGGCTGTTTCCTTCAGGTGGCACTAACAGATCATTAAAGACAATGGGAAAATGACTGCTCCGCTATTTCCTTTCTAGGCCTGGGCAAGACAGGAGGCTGTTCCTCTTCCCCTGCAAATGCCAGGGGCCATTCAGACTTGCTCATCCGGTTCCAAGTGCATGGTCTTTGCACCCCTGGTTTGCTAGTCGCCAACCATAAAATCCCATCCGCTTTGCCTTCCCCTAAAGAGGCCATTGTAGAGATACCCGGCATGGAAATCAGGTGACAATTTTTCCTGGGATGGTAATACCGCCCTTGGTCACACACATCTGGAGCTCAGGGAGGAGTGAAGAGAAGCAGGGAAGAATAAGGCTCCCTCTCTTCAAAGTTAATCCATTTTGGGCTGCTGCTCAGGGCACCTTCCTGCCAGAGGGAGGCCAGGGTCTAGGGGCTGGCATCAGGCCTTTACCATGGCAAAGTGCTGGTGACAAGCAGATGCCCGACACCATGTCTGCCCAGGATCCTGAGGAAAGGGTTGTGCTCCATCATGGCAGAGATCTGCAGCTGGGGTATATCCAACACACGCCAATCGCTGCCAGACTGTGCCCTTCACCTAGTCCCCAGTGGGAGCTTGGGGCAACGGGGCTCGGAGACAGAGAAAGAAAATGGAGGTTTCCTTAAGGTGATCTGTTCCAGCGCTGAACCACCCTCAGCGAGAAACTTCTCCCTAATCTCCAACCAAAACCTCCCTTGGTACAATTTAAGCCCATTACTACTTATCCTGTCCCCTGTGGACACGGGGAACAATTGATCCCCGTCCTCTTTATAACCACTCTCTTTGCATTTGAAGACTGCTCTCAAATCCCCCCCTCTGTCTTCTCTGTTACAGAAAAAATAATCCCAGGTCTTCCCATTTGCCTTCACACATCTGGGGAGGGAGAGAAGAGGCAAGGGGATGTCTGTGGTTGTTTCCAGAGCAGAGAGGAGAGATGCAAAGGACAACGACCCCTGGGCTGCTGCCGCTGGCTTTACTTAGAAGAATATGCTTGCTTTGAAGTGACTTGGGGGAGTCAGAGGTTTGAAGCATAAAACGCTGCTCTAAAAGGAGGGACCTGCACAGGAGCTAGGCTTGGCACCGGTCTCTCCTGGCGTGAAGAGATGGCTGGCAGCCTGCCCTCAAGAGTGTCTCCTGCCCTTGCAGCAAGCCGAGAGTCCTCCAAGCGCAAGGACCTTGGAGACTCTTTTGGCCAAGGTTAACCAGAAACAGTTAACCAGTCAGCAGCATCAATACACAATTCCCTTAGCACATGCCCAGCTAAGCCCTATTACACCGCTACAATTGTGCATGCAAAAAGGAGAGGCTGAGGGAACTGGGCTGATTGAGTCTAGAGAAGAGAAGACCGAGGGGGATTGAATAGCAGCCTTCACCTCCCTGCAGGGGGGCTGCGAAGAGGATGGAGCTGGGCTGGTCTCAGTGGGGGCAGACGACAGGACAAGGAGCAATGGGCTCAAGCTGCAGCAAGGGAAGTTGAGGTTGGATATTAGGAAAAACTCTCTCACGAGGCAAGTAGGGAAGCACTGGAACAGGTTACCCAGGGAGTTTCCACCCTTGGAGGTGTTGAAGACCTGGACTGACAAAGCCAGGTCTGGGATGATCTAGTTGGGGCTGGTCCTGCTTGGAGCAGGGGGTTGGACTAGATGTGACCCCCTGAGGTCCCTTCAACCCTCATCTTCTATGATTCTCTATCAGCTCAGTTATTTGAATTGCACACCCACAGTCATGGTAACCACAGGAACAACCAGGTACACACGCAGCTAGTAAAGTGATCGCACAACGGATGCAATCTTACACACTGTAAAGAAATGAGCTTTTAATTCCAAAGCTGGAGACAGAGCAGTTCAAATGCTGGGCCTCTACGGGTGTCCAGCTATCAGGTGGTAGGGCAAGAGTGCTGTAGTGACATCAGCTTTTGCCCTGGGGATTTCTTGCTGACTGCCTGGGATGACAGCAGCAGAGCACTTGCATTAAAAAGCAGGTACCCTCGCCCTACCCAACATTTCTTCATTTCTTCTGGTTGGAAGTGGGACCAGGCAACACGCAACAACTGCACACCCCCACCTGTCAGTCAGGGCTCACAGCTGGGTCCAGCCCCCTCGTAACACCTGCAGCTGGGCAGACTGGGACAGGAAAGGCTGGCACAGGACCAGACACTCTGGGACCTGGGGGTCAGGACTTTGGGCACACTGGGTGTGAGCTACGGTGCATTCAAAGCCCCAGCCTCACGGACAGGCTACAGCTCACTGACATCTGCTGCAGCGCTCTCCGTGAGCCAGTCTCAGCGGACAGTCCTCGTCGAAATTATGGCTGTAGCACAGGGATCAAAGACTCCCTTCTGTCGAGCCCAGGGATAATGCAGAGAGATTTTATGGCACCTTTCACACAAGCTGTCTCCCACAGCGGCCTCCGCTGTTCAACAAGCTGCTGCCTAGATGGGAAGAAATGCACAGGCTGGGCAGGCAGGAGAGAGCTTCTCAGTGGAGATTTCCAGAGGCGGACGATGCAGATGGGAAGGGAACAGACTCTAGTCTCCGCTTTCCCATGCAAATCTCCCCTCCTCCCATGCACACCCCCTGTGTACCAATTCAGAGCCAGCACACAAGCAGCCCACACCTACTCTACTCTCCTCCAACCTGCCACCGGGTCCCCAAAGCATGATGAACCCTTTGCTCGCTGTCACCTGGAGCAGCGGCACACACGTGTCGCACAATGTAGCGCACGAGAGGGACCACGAGTTAAATGACTGACCGACACACCTCTGCTGCCCTGCGCAAAGCACGGAGGCGAGATCAGACACCGGACTGTGAAGCTATCTAGTCTTTGAAGAGCCTGGGCCCTGCAACCCACTACCCCACCCCACCTCGTGACATGCAGTTCACCTAGTCTGAGGCTGGGAAGCCAGCGCCAGGTTGTTCCCTGCAGCGTGTCCTTATCCAGGCTCTGGCTAAATGAACCCAGTTAATGGGGCTTCTCCAGCTCTTGCTGGGAGACTTGACTATGGCTGAATGCACTTCAGACACCAGAGAGGCTGATCTGTTTGAAGTCGCTTCATGCTGGGGTTAGATCAGGCCACAGCTCCAGCAAGACGCAGGCACCGTGGCTTCTCCAGTAGGGCTGTCAACATCTAAGGGCCCATCCCCTGGAAAAGATGCCCCATAGCAATAAAGCCAAGAGTTGCATCAAACGATGAATGAGTTGGACAGAGAGAGTGAGTGGGGCTGAAGGCATGCGACAGCTGACGATACCCTCTGTCCAGTGCTTCCCAGGAAGGCCACAAAAACGACTGTCCTCGGCAGCAGCTTGCAGCGGGGGAGGAGGGGGGTACTGGACCAACTACCAGAGCTGACCTCATAGCAGGTAAAACATCCACTGCAGAGATGTCCTTTTGCTCCCCCAGCAAAATGCAAGCACCATCTGGGAGGAGCGCAGCAGATGTTCGACATCCGTGCACCGGACTCTGACAGGAAGCAAAAAAATATCCCATTGAAATGAAGCTGCGGGGGGGACACTGGAGGAAGAGCGAATGCAATGCCTGCTGCTGGAAGGGGGCCAGGGCTCCCTGGTGACATTCCTATGCCTACGTGAAGTGCCATCCTTGCAACCTGCTGAACAGCAAAGGACCATAGCGAGGAAGAGAGAGAAGGGAGAGCATGGCAAGGAGAGACTCTGACAGCAATGAGGGATTCATTTTTTACCCGAGTGACATCCTCACGCCGTGCTCTCTGGTTACTGGGCTGGTCTGGAGCCTTCCTGTAGCACTAAGATGCGCTCTCCCAGCAGACAGCACTTTGTGATACCTGCCTCTGCTTCCCACACATGCCAGGCACAGCAACATCCTGAAAGCCAGCCTCGGTCAGTCAGGCCTCCGTTTCAAACCAGCAAGCTGCTTCCCATCAGCAACAGTCACATCTTTGCTTCGTCCAAGCTTGGGCCTTGGACCCCACCAGCTACTTCCACCCCAACCAGAGCGCCTTCACCCTGCCTCTCCCCACTTCAAGGGATGCGCTGCATTCTCCGAGAGATGCGGCGGGGGGTTTACCAGGAGATCCCCATGGAAGGGGGCCTGGCTAAAATTCCCATGGGATGCTGGATGTGAAGGAAGCTGTTTCCAGCCGTGTCCAGTCACTGCAGACAAGCCACCACCGGGACTTTCACTCCCCGACGTACTGCTGCCACAAACTGTGGCTTCTCAGGTCAGATCAGGCCATGGTGGGATTACAGTCGATCATACGTTTCTACAGTATTTTTCATTTCAAAGGTTCCCATGTTTTTTCCCCTTTTGCAGGAGGTTGAGAAGGTCGCTCTTGCTTTAGACATCCCAGCAACTCACTCCAAGACGTTTGCCCAGGTAATATGATGCTACCAAGTTCACTTTACTCAATATTGTCCACATTATTTGCAGGTAGGCTATTAGGTTCTTGTCACCAATTACTTGCATTACAGACACCTGCAGGATGCCATTACAATCGAGGCTCTGACACGCAAGGAGATGTACACAAAGACCTTACAGACAAGACAGAGGGTGGAAGGGGAAATGGGAGCAAATGAAGTGACGTGCCCAAGGCCAGAGTAAGGCGGTGGCAGAGTTGAGACTAGTGTCTGCATCCTTTTTCTGCCTGTCCAGTCCAACACATGGATCGTGGAGGGGCTTCCCCTTCCCCCCGTACCAGGAAGTTATTTTTGCCCGTCATGGAAAACTTTACATATATAAGCAAGTCCATCCCACTGCATTATTCACTCACCTCTACCCGCCCCTGAACGGGCACAATGACATATGCATGCCCTGGACAGGACGTGGGAACTCTAGTACCCAGTGGGCACTTCAGTGGCAATCATCCAAGGTGGAAGCTGCAATAGGGTTCAGGG